TCTTCAGACTGCATATGATGGTAACTGAGGGAGTTTCATAAATGGGCTCTACTCTGTTAAGGTAGTTTCCTTTTAGTTGTAATTCATTGAGTGTTTTTGTCATGAAAGGGTGTGGCATTTTGTGAAACAATTTTTCTGTAGCCACAGTCTTACTGCTTTGCATCTGGAAGAGCCAATCTCGTCTACGCCCACCCATTCCTCCTCCACTATATGCGGTGTTTAGAGAGAAAGGAAAACCTTGTGTCCTTCAGAGGACAGGGGCCACTCCGCCAGAGCCACAACAGTGGTCACCTGTGTGAGAGGTTGGGGAGCAGAAGAGGCCCTCATGGATACGCCTGTGGACTCTGCTTGAATCCATAGCAGCTGTTACTGCTTTATAGATGTGGACTGGGATGACGCTCCCCTACCACCCTCGACTCAGACATAGGCAAGGGTTCATGGACAAAGGGGAATAGACCAGGATCAGAAGCAACAGGGTAAGAGGACTAGGCTCAGGCTCCTGTGATAATATGGGGTGACAGTTATAGGGACTCACCCCATTTGTCCCAGAGTTTGTGTCTGTGTTGATGAGTCTTTTTTTGATGAGTCTTTCAAGAAAGCCAGTATTTTTTCTCACTCTGAGCACCTCCAGCTGATAACCCCTCTTTTAGGTTGATTAGATTTGGATGGCCCCAGAGTTTCCATTAATGAACTTTGAAGAAAAGGTTGTGGAATGACTGCTTGATCCAAATCAGCCCTCTTCCCTTGTCTCCCATGCCTTAAAGGATCTCAGTCCTGACGGTCACATGAGCACATTTTGCAGGTGGGGTGAAGAAGGCCAGGCTGGCTGCATCCAGTTTCCTGTGAGAATGCAGCTGCTGAGCCCAGTGAATGGTAAGCAGATAACACAGGGTCGCATTAGGGGCTGGCTTCTTAGCTATGGTCACCTGCAGACCCCCCAGAGATAAGCCCACAGCATCCAGTGCTGTCCCAGGCCCAGACACACTGAGTCTTTCGGTTACTCCCTGCCTTTCTGTTTTTCTTCCACTCCAAAAGAGACCTCTGTGAGCGTCCTTGTGAATGTGCATCTGTACTTACTGCTGTGCACAGAACTCCTGAATCATGACATACATGCCTGCTCCACTCTGCCATTGGTAGTAAAGTCCTGGGATCTTGAACCTGCTGAAGGGGTTCCCTGAACAGACATCAGAGCAGGGAGCCCAACTTGATGAAGGGGAACCAACCAGGAATGAAGGGCTGTGCCCAGAACTGCCTGTTTCTTCCCCTCTCAAGAGTATGGCCCATTTCCAGGCTCTAGGTTTCTCTCCTGGAAGCCGTGTGCTCTAAGACTTGGTGTCTCCTCTGCTCTCAGCTCACCAGCCTCCAGCATCAAATGAACCTGAAGCTGGTGTCTCACTGGACATAGGCAGAGCCAGGCTGAGCTCTTCAGTCTCTCACATGCTACTTATACATCCCTGGCTGAATCCCCTCTGCGTGGGGACTGAGGGGCCTCCTGCATCTGGCTGTGACAGAACATGAGATTCCTTGTCCAGAGCTCAGACTGAAGCAACCCCTGGGGAGGTCCTAAATCTGCAGGTTGAAGAATAATAGAAAGAATAATTAGGGAAGTGGGTAGGCATCATTCCTTGGGAATTATATCACAGGCATTTAGTGCAAACTAATGTGCTTACTTGAGAGTACCTGTGTTAAAGAAGCTCTGTCTGTGTGGTTAAGCCCCTAGACCCAGCATCAGTAAGGGAGGCTGGACCCAGCTTTGCCGCTTCCAGGTTGTGACACTGTGTAAGGTTTCCACGTAAAATAAGGGGCGCCCAGTTATGTTTATATTTAAGTAAACAATATCGTCTTGGAGATAGAGATGCTGTCTTTTTCTTTTTTTGACTCAGAGTCTCACTCTGTTACCCCACCTGGAGTGCAGTGGCCCAGTTTCAGCTCCGCCTCTTGGGCACAAGTGATCATCATTCATCAATCTTCTGAGTAACTGGAATTACAGGAATATGCCATGAGGCCCAGATAATTTTTGTAGTTTTAGGATATGGGAAGGTGCACTACGTTGGTCAGATGTGTCTCAAACTCCTGGCCTTAAGCAGTGCAACAGCCTCAGCCTCCCAAAGTGCAGGGATGAAGGTGTGAGCCACCGCACCTAGCCTACATATTGATTTTCAATCCTTGTTTTACTATAGTTAAATTTCGCTGACCTCTGGTGTTTATACTGATAAATTAGAACCCTACCTTCAGGCCACAAACACTTCTTCTCCGATCTGGGCCCATTGCCTGAAAGGCAATAGTAGAGTTTTTATCAGGATTACATGAAATCACAGTCTCAGGAATTAAAAGGTTGTTTGTCAATAGTAAGGTCGTACATGTACTAAAGGAAGCATAATGTGGTTGCCAAAGAGACGCAGACAGACCCCCATGTTTCTACATACAGACCCTGGCTGGGAGGGAACATAAATATCAGCATCCTCGGTCACTTCTGCTGAGGGAAACCATCAGACCAGGAGACAGGATGTAAGAGGGGAAGGCGCTTTTCATAGATCTCGTGTGGCATCTTCTTTTTGTATTACCCATTCAAAATCAGGAGACTAAAACAAAATTGTCCAGCACTGGTTAGAGGTGAGTCAGTATTAGCATAAGATGCAGGCAGGGCTGCACGTCACTGGAGAGAAGATGAACTGCCTGCAGGGCTCGATACTGTTAGAATCCCCAGAAAATGTATTGATTTTTTTTTAATCAGAAAAAAGGAATGTAATGTATCCTAGATGATGTATATGTGTCTATACAACGTAAAAATAGTCATAAAAGGTAAAATGACCCAGAAACCCTCAAAGGTACTAATGAGCCCTTTATGGGATGAGACACAATTCAGCAACAACAGGGAGAATCTCAGAAGAAGTGTGCAGAGTGAAAGAAGCCTGAACAAATGGGAAGATAATGTTTGATAACGCTAACATTCCCCAAAATGAAAACCAAGCACTAGTGATAGAGAAAGATCTGTGGCTTCCCAGGATGCTTTGGGGGAGAGAGGGAGATGGCAAAGGGTGAGGAGGGGCTGCTGGGGTTGGACACAGGTTGCATAGCTGGCAGTGGTGATGTTTTCAAGGATCCAGATAGATCTGAAAATGGGTCTCATAGTATAATGTAAATATTGGTGGTTTATTATATGTACATTATTCCTTCTTGGAAAGAATTTAAAAAAAGAGAATAGGCAGGGGAGGAAAGAAGCAAAGGGATTCACCCTGAGGATAAGGGAGAGAAAGCCACCAGTCTGGGGACTTCTGGAAATCAGGAGATGAGGATGATGGAGACACAGTTTCCACATAAGAGGTGGGTCTGAGGTGACACAGCTGGAACAGCAGCCTCATCCCGGGACTTCAGTGCAGACACCGTGTCCCAAGGTACAGGGAACAGAACGTTTTGTTTCCTGGAGGCCCTGTTCCTAGGAAGGAGGTGCTGTGTCTGATTCTCAGAACACAAGAAAAGAGAAGCGTCTACTCCCATCGGGGCCCTGAATGCCCTGGACCATGGGGGAAGCAGCAGCAGGGGAAGCAGCAGCAGCAGAAGCCACAGGCCACGACTGAGCAGCAGCTGTTGAGCGCTCACCCTCCTGGTAGAGGAGAAAGGGGTTCTTGTCTCACTTCCCCTGGGGCCTGGAGCACTGTGTCAGCATTCAGATTGCTGTCATACGACTGGCAATAATAATCAGCCTCATCCGCAGACTGCAGTCCAGTGATGGCCAGGGAGGCTGAGGTGCCAGACTTGGAGCCAGAGAATCGGTCAGAAACCCCTGAGGGTCGCTGATTATTACCATAGATGAGGAGTTTGGGGGCCGTTCCTGGGAGCTGCTGGTACCAGTATACATAATTACTTCCGATATTGGAACTGCTTCCAGAACAGGAGATGGTGACCCTCTGCCCAGGGTTCCCAGACACTGAGGGTGGCTGAGTCAGCACAGACTGGGCCCAGCATCCTGGAAGTGGGAGACACACAGGCATCATCATTCTGGGTGTAGATACAAGAGGAGAAAGCAAGAATCCATAGACTTCCCAGGGCCCCTCCCCTGGACCCCATCCAGTCACCCGTGCAGTGAGCCAGGACAGTGAGGAGGAGAGGAGCCCAGGCCATGCT